GAAAAAATATAACTTTAAATGTTTTTTTTAATAAACTGTACTAGAATGTTTTGTAGATAGTTGAAGCTCAGAAATAAAGTTTTCAATATGATTGTTCCCAGTGAGTTGGTACCATCAAACATCAAACATTGCACACACATGCTACTTCTCTGAGTACAAAACTGTGTTTTCACCGGAAAGAGAGCTTTAAATTAAATACGAATTCTTACTACAAAACATTAGATTTTTAATTCCCCGCCAACCTATTACTTTTGTTTTGTGTGCTTAGTATCACATCAATTTTTATACTTAAAAAAGGCAAGTACTACTGACTGCCAGATCGTCACTATATTGCACAAAAAACAATAACATTTGGTGTATATGTCCCTTTATGGAGTAGATGGAAATCAAGGAGGGGATTTTATAAAATTCTAAATTTAAGGGGGGTAAAAATAATATAATTTTGTTATTTATAAAATACATATAGTCAAAAATGGTAAAAAACAGACACTTAGAGCAAAGGGATAACACTGGCCGTTAGAGAAAAGGGTAGTGATTAGGTCAGCCTAATTGGGTCCCGCTTGGTTGTTTTTGTAGTTAAAATAATACTATTACCTTTCCAAACTCATGACAAGAATTATGTTTACTACTTTTTTACAAACGGTATTGTCTTTTTTTTCTTCTATTCTTAAAAACTTTACAAACCTCCTTCTACAATAAAGAGTAGCCTTTATTATATATTTTAAAAGTGATTTAACGCTATAATCGGATTCAAATAAAACAACCGACTGGTTAAATGTGTTTTAAAAAAATGCTGTGATAATATAAATGTACAAACATATTCATAACTTATACTTTATTTCTCATCATTCTGAGCTTTTTTAAGGTCAAAAGTTGCTTCAAAAGTTAGAGTTGTACATGATTTCGTAGCAGGTGGTATTTTTTTGGATGTAAGCCACTAAATCATTTAGAAAATTGCTTTAAAAATAATAATTTAAAATAATTTATTTACTTTAAAATTATTTTGTTTGTAAATTTACGTCAATGCTTCTTTAATAGATTTACGCTTTATTTAGATATGGTATCTGCGTGGTAAAATCATTTATTTTGCACGCAAGGCTGTGGACACATGTATAACCACAACCATGGAAGATAACCAACAAACTGATACACATCATTCCAAAGAACCACGTGGTCCAAAAAGAGGTCTTAACAATTCCTTGGACCTACTAACCCCAAAATGTCGACAACAATCAAGTATTCGTTATATAAAATAAACAAACGTAAGGATTGTGTGAAAATGAAACACCGTGGGCAAATCTCGGTAAAGCCTCAACTATTAAAAAAAAAAAACCTTTGATCCAACAGTGGTTGAATAAAACTAAACCAACCTCGATGAATAATTTATAAAAATTATTTCTGAATACAGGATATACCCAAACTAGAGGTTCGCTAGTACAAATCCAGCGCTTGTGTAATTCAAAAGTATTCTTTATACTTTATATTATTTTATATGGTGCAATATAAAATAGTGCAATATAGAACTTGAAATTTCACAGTTCTTGTTAAATAACCCTATATAAATCATATTTTCCTTAAAATCCCTTTTTTGTTGATAAAAACAACTCAATAAATATTCTTCCTATCGTAAGGTACATACAAACAAGTCTGGCAAAAAGGAGGAGGGCCAATAATTTAAAAATGTTCTACAACAAAACGAATTTAAACCAAGCATTATCATCGCTTAATGTTTTAACAAATTTTAAAAGGGTACGAAATCTTGATACTAAAGATTTTGCTTTTTTAGAAGGTGACATAGTTGTAAACTGTTAATGCGATGTTAAGATGCTTGATAAGAAACAAATTATGATAACTCTATCGAGGATCTTTCTTATTTTGACTATTGGTGTTAGAAGAAAGTGAATTTTATCATCGCAAAGATAATTCTGTATCATCTGAGATGATAATTATTATAATATCAACTAACATGTTCTTGTTTGTCAAAAGACAAATCTTGTTTTTCATAAAATCTTACCTCGTTTTCGAAGAAGCCAAGTCAGGTATTCGTATTGATGCGGAGGTTAATTGGATCAGCAAACCTTAGCTTGCATACTGTGTCAGCTTCAAACTGGTAAGGTTACGGACATTGTTTGATTCGCATAAAACGGAAATTCTAAAAAGTGCACACATGTTGAATAACCATGCGTATGTGTAAATAAATTTATGTTTTTAGTTTATTTTACCAGGGTTCAAATTAAATAAAAAGTACCTTACCTTTGTTTTATATGTAGTATAGAATAGGTTTGATGTAATCCATTTGCCATGTTATGGTTGTGAATGGTAATTAACTGAAAAGAATAAGTTTTTTATATTGAAATTGAATTTGGTTTAACCGTCATTTTTAATTGTAGTATTATAAAACTGTTTGTGATCCTTGTAGCAGAAAATCTACGCAGTCGTTGGGCTAGGAATGAAAACACACATTTATAAACATTCTATAAATAACAATAGCTTAGCAAAAAACATGCTTTGAAATACAACCAACCCCACTTTATGTTAAATGTCAAATATGACCAATAATCATGTATTCGAGAACGGTGGTTAGGATTATTGAGTGTAATATCAGATACCAACCAAGAGAAGATTAACCACGTATTCCCTATAGATAGATACCAAGCCACACAATTTGTTTGCAAAACATGGTGTCCGTTGTACATAATAAATTCAAAACATAGATAGATCTATATTTAAAAAATTACAAGACATATAAATATATATTACTTATAAATATAAAATTTAAGGTATATTTTTATATTGTTATCTACGAACATTCCAAGGTTGAAATATAATTAGTGATTATGAATGAATCTGATACAATTTAAGCTTACTATTCTTACATCTCATAGCTAACCATTCACAAGAAAGAATATATCTTATTTTGAATGAGGAGTATAAATAATAAGGTATAATACAAAGACATACACCCTACTATCTGCGTGTTCTTCAACTGCAGAGTTTGTTGTAAATGACGACAGTATTAAAGACAAGTTGCTGAACATTTCTCTCTCTCTTTCTCTCACTCTTGTGAAATGGTTTAATTTAAAATTAACTGTGATCACTAAGTTTTTGTGACGTTATTCCGTTATCCTCACAGTTTATTTAAATGTTTTTAGATTTATTTGACGAATTGCAACTATTGCTCAAAATCGAGCAAGTTTTACGGGAGTTTTACAATTGAGTGAATTTAATATATCTCGCAATTGAAGACTTTGTTATTAGACTCAACTTATTAATTATTGCGTATCTTCTATAAGTACTTACTCTGTTAATAAAAGATCCAAAGCTCTTTTTTTAGACTATATGTAGGCTATTGTATATATTTTGTAGCTTACCAGGAGCTGATTTTGTTCATTGGTGTTTTACAAAAATAGTTTAATCCCTCCAAAGTAATTTTCCTGAACAGTCGTATAAAGTTGTCCATATGAAAATGCAGGAAAGGTAATGTCCAACTGGTGATATTCATCTCTTGCTATGAACTGAACCTGAGCTTTTAGGCTAAAATAAATGATAAATTATCAATTATGAATGGTAAGGTTAGAAAGATTTCAGGTTGATCTCTTAAAAATTGCACCGGACCTATGTCCATATGTTAACATTCCCTGAGGATGTAAAACAAGCTGGCAAAGTGTACGTAGGGTGATATTTAGCTGTGACCCAAGAACAGAGGCAAAGCTAAAGTAATAACTAAAATTCATTGTTGTAGCCCCGGAACTGTAATATAAAATATTTGGTTTTACAATACCTTTATCAGTTCCAAATGTAACCTTCGTCAACGTGTTACATGTTTCGGCAAGGTGCCATTTTCAAACACGTTGACGAAGGTTACATTTGGAAATGATAAAGGTATTGTAAAACCAAATATTTTTTAAAGTAATAACATCCTAATGCAATTTTCTTGAATCTGGGATGGATAACAAAATATACCTGCATCCACACTTAATCAAATGTTCAACTTCAATTATGAGAAGATTTTTACGTAAATGTTAAATATGAATGCGTAAGATAATAGGTACGGTAACTACGTTAATAGTCATGAAAATGTGTTTACCGGACGAGTGTGGTCGTTCCCGTGCGAGACGAAGTCGAGTACGGGATTACCATACGAGTCCGGTAAACACATTTTGGACGAGCGACGTACGATAGTTTATTACGCTATACCACTAAATCTGTAAATTCCTTATATATTACCACCAACTAAAGGACTAACAATCACTAGCCATAACCTCTAAGAGAGGTTATGTTTTTGTTTATAACTACTCATCGCCAAGTACAGTATAATCAGCTGGTTGGTGCCATTACAATAGTACGTAATGAAACCCCATTTGGTTGACCTGGTGGTAAACAGCTGTTTTCTAGACTAAATCCTCTGTTGGAAGTTGGTCAAAATAGTGTGGTGTGGTATAATGTCTTTAAGTTAAAGATTATAAACTAGTTTTGAACTGTATATACTGTAACTTTATGCTATACAAATATGTAACCATAAATACATATATGTTCTTCGTTAAGGCCTACACTAATTAAAGCACTGGAGAGGCTTGTCTCAAAGCCATATCAACCAGAATAATCTCCATATGCACAAATGAGTCATTTAACCCACTGAGCTTACTAATTGGCGAGTTTCTGCTACACGTGGCTTAGTTCGTTAATCAAGGCTGATTGACTCTAATCGAATCCGATCCTCTGAGAAATTATCCCTTACTATGTTTCTTCTAGAAAAACGTATGCGTGTTTGGAATTATGTATACAAACCGATAAAACTATTTTTGCATTTGCACAACCGTGAAAGTGTTAAGTATTTTGTAGAAACATGCTTATTATCAATATGCATATAACAATATAGAATTATTTTATAATTATTGCACAGTTGGTAGCACTGGTTTCCCTTCAGTTGGCATTGGTAAATCTCCCGGCCACCCCACTCCCCCCACACATTCCGCGCGAAGATGGAAAGGTGGGGGCATCTCTCACTCAGTTCGCTGGTAGCGTTCACACGAAGCGTAAGTGGTTATAGTGGTCAGTGGTGGTTACAAATTGGATAACGTAAATATATTTATAGGGGTAAGTATTTTTTCTGTTAAGATGTGTTTATGTAGTTTTAATGGTCGTTTTTATTATTTAAATGTTTAAAAACTGAAAATTTAGGATGGTTTAAAATTATGTAATAGATATTTTTTTTATATACATCCATTAATATTATATGAGGAGTTCATTAAACATGACGCTAAAACTTTTGGAGAAACATTTAATATGTTGATTGATTGTACTTAACAGGTGCTTGTTTATATATTTTCACCTATTTCTTGGCGTTAAGTTATATATTGATAGGTCAATCAATATTGTACAATTTAGAGTGCCTATATTAAAAGTATTGATGCATGATATACGGTTCTTACACATGCATACATGCCACTTGTCTAAGGCTTATCTATTATTCCAAAATCGTGATAATAACGTAGGCCTATATATCGTCTTAAAAAAATAATAGATAATTAAATAATAAATTACTGTTTCTTATGTTTTCCAAATACTTTTGACACATATAATAGTATGTATTATCATAAAAAAAATGTTTATTAAGATGTTTCCCAGTGTATTCGAGAGTGTAATTTTACTTACCCTTGAATCCGAGGGTTTAATCTCAGAGTTTATTAATTTGTCGTTTTGGCTATAAATGCATGACGATATTTGATAAATTTTAGACGTTATGTAGTAACAAGTCCAGGGTGTAGACCGTTCTTGTACGACATTAAACAGCCACCAGTGTAAACAGCCCATACAAAAAAAGATCTATTACGTAATAATTTGTAATTTTATGATGAGATGGTTTTTTATTTATTACCAAACATTTCCTGTAACATCTTTGTTGATGGAGAACACATCATTCAACCATCTTAAACGATCGATCAATCATGTATTAACGATTACACAATATGAGCACATCTGTCATCGTAGGTGGGAGGTAGGACGAATATCCCGGAAGACCGCGTACTAATTCATTTAACTCCACAATTTATTGTGTCTTTTTAATGATCCATCTGGCTAATTAAAATCCTATTTGGAAGTAGATTTATCGGTATGGTCTGCGTAATAACGTTACCAACCACGTTACGTCATGTGGTTGCGTTATTATTTTTGTATAAATGGTGTTTACTGTTGAAATAAATGAAATGAAATGAAATACGTAGGTATCAAATACTTGAACATAACCAATATTACAATAAATATTTAACTTAAAGAACCGGCCTGAATGTTTCAATTGATAGTTATAAATCAAATCAAGCTTTGTATAGTGACGATTTGTAGGATAACATTATTTAATGATATTCCTTGTATTGTACTAAGAACATACGGAAAACATCTCACCTAATGTAGAACGTACCAGAAGATAACCTAAGAAATAATTGGAGTCATCAGTCAGTCTCCTGTTAGGGTTTAAGGAACCATCCTCAAGTCATCCATTATAAATATTATAATTATAAATATATTATGATTTTGATCACCACTTGAGGTTTTATATTCAATATTTCTCTTATCATCACTCAATGCGTATAGAGTTTTGTTTGGACCCAAGAGTCCGAATCCCCTGTAGAAATATAATACATAACCCTAGTTTCCTTGGGTTGAAAAAAACCGCCTTAGGTGGCCTTTACTTAGTCACTTCTTTCTCTTTCTTTTTGGTGGGAAAGGACTTTTTACCATTAGAAAAATGTTGGGTATTTAATTTCAACAGGCATGCAAGAACAGTGTAGTATGAAGTAAGATTCCTTTAACTTGTATTAATTACGAAGACGAAATACTAAGGAAGGCAAGGGTTAGGTTTTAAGTAAAAAATCTAGGTGCGTCACCTTTTGGGTGGTTATGAATCAATGCATAGTAAGCCATTGAACCTGGTTATGTTCTAAAATATGAGTTCAAGCCACTAGTCCATTACCATGTCCCTACCATCGGAAATCACTTACTAGATTCATCTGAGGTATAATAAATACGAATTATACTTTTTCACACATGTTGGTAACAAACAGATTTTCAGACATGTTTGTACTTTTCATAACTAACTGAAAATAAATTAAACATATATAGCTTTAGTGAGACGAGCAAAAAAGGAATCGCTATTAATCAATACACTTAGGGTAATATCATTTCCAATCCTAAAAGAAGAAAAAAACAGGATAGTGAGGAGAATAAACGAAAAGCTTTTTGGAATTCGTTTTAATGGTAAAAGTACCCCCTGAGGCTTTCAATTATCTTTTAAGACAACAAAAGTCCGCGCTTAACTAAACAAAACTCCATTTTAAAGATTGAAATTGAATTTGTTGTGTTTTAAAAGTAACTCTTGGTATTTTCCAGTTGCTAATATATTATGTTTAGTTGTTAAATTTACTACAATTTGCTTGTGTCGTAATACCTATGATATTTATTAATATTTGCATAGTTGTTTAAAATACACTTCCGAAAAATACTACAATTTGTTTTCATATAATGCATTTCAGTGCATGAATGGTCATACAGCTAGAATTCATACAGAGTGTTTTTTTTTTCTTGCTTCTTTATTTATGTAAACACTGCAATAGAAAGAAATATGCAATTTTCAGGAATCGTCTATTGACGTATTGTTGACACGATTGTTGAGGATTAAATTTGAAGTTCCCATTCACCATCTTTCCCCCCCTACCCTTAACTTAAAACATTTTAATTGCAAGGTACCACTTTTGACATATCAAATATGAGGACATGAAAAGAGAAAATTAATGACGCAAACTAGAGATCTCTACGCCAATATTATAAAAAAAATTATAGCAGTCCAAAATTAGAATGTTTCCCTCTTTTTTTAAAAAAAACCCGTTATTTTACAGCTCTAGCTCGAAAAAGGGAAGAACTAGCAAAGATTTGAAAGAATTTTCATGGTGAGGGAATTAAATTTTCCACAAAACACTCGTAAATGTTTTCCGGAAATCGTACCCCCTCACCTTCAAAAATCGCCCTACTTCTAAAATTTGTAAAATTTCTCGGGGTTTTTACAGTTTTTTTATTGAACAACCATTTTTAAAGGTGTGACTAGCTGGCATGCTTGTAATTGACTAGGGGTACCTTGTAATTTTAAAATTTTAAGTTAAGGGTAGGGGGAGAAAGGGGGTGAATGGAAACTTCACATTAAATTCACAACAATGGCCCTTACGTCAATAGGCGATTCCCGCAAACTCCATATTTCTATATATTGCAGTTTTTACATAAATAAAGAACTAACTTAAAAAAAAAAACACCCCGTATATATCATACATTGAAGGTATTTCAATTTGATGCAATATTTATTCAAAGTAATTACTATCGTATTGTAGTTGTATTTGCATTTATTAAGCCTTGTAGTAACGTTGTATTTTTCAAGCCTTTCTAAGTTATTTTCTTTATATTATTAATTGATCTTACAAATTAAAAACATACACAGTTAATAGCATTATAGTTTAAAATGTAAATAACAACAAGATCAATTTAACATAAAGGATAAAAACATGTAGTTATAATTTTTAATGCTACTTACAAGCTATCAGAGACTATAAAAACTGTGTTTAAAACCATAACAAGGGTAACTATGGCATAACGTTAGTGCAGGCTAAACCGTCATACCAACGGACTATTGGCTATGCACTATGCAGTTATTATGCTTGGCCCAAACATAATGCATACATTTGAGGTGCTCTTTTAGCTTAAAGTGTTTTGCAAATGTTGAACTACGGTTTCCTCTTAACCGTTTAATTGAATGATTTATTGTGTTGAATCCGTATAATTTACACTACTACTAAGTAATAATTATCATTAAGATTTGAGTGAGTAGTTAAATAAAATGTAGAGTTGCTAAAACCGATCACAATATAACATTATAAACATACACTTTGATATAGTTCGTGGATATTTTGATAAAAAAATATGTTTAAGCTTCTTAATCCTTCTATGTAGCAATGCATACAAATTATGTTAATTACGTTACATAACATTTAATCAGCCTATTACTTAGCTATGGCTGTAACAACATAACACCATTAACTCAGATGATATTTACACACAATTATACAGATTTTCATTGATGCTAATGAGCAATGAACATGTTACTCAACTGTGTCAAATACTCAGTGCAAATAAACGTCACGCTTCTAATTAATTACATCGATTATTTCCTAGCGTCTCTTGTTTAGCTCTTAACCCTTGTCACTAATAACGCCTAACGTTCAGTGTTAAACATGTTTAATTTTCATCTAGGTTCATAATTATTTACAAGGTCCATAGAAATAATGTAAAAATATTTTTTCCTACAGTCACCCGACAAAGTTGGCTTCCCTGTACTGTTTATAGTACAGAAAGCTGCTAATTGCTGCATATTTATACTTTGCCGTACGGTTTATACTTTGCCGTACGGTTTATACTTTGCCCCACATCAGGATTCCAACCAAACAACACAAAACAGCGTGGTTTTATTATGCACGTAATCCGTGTACGCTTGGAAATAGGTTGGCAACACTTAAAGATAATAATACTATGAGCAGCTGATTGACTAATTATAACTACGATTTAACCTGTCATTTCGTGTTTATAGTTTCGGTATTCCTGAACTTTCTGGACTTTTCTTTTAAACGTTTTTAAAATATTCCTACGATCTTAATAAACAAAAAAATACCTTTTAAGCATTTTTTTAAGGTGCGGAAACCACTTCAAATTACTAAACCATACGGAACTATATTCTCAAAACGCGTAGCAAATTTCTTGCCGAGGAAAAATTGCGGAGTGATACGGACCGCGGGTACTACTTTCTCTAGGGCACCATTTTTGTTGCCAGCTGAACCTAAAAAAGCTTTGTATAGTGTTTGAAAGACTAATTATTTATATGCTTTATAGTGACTGTAGGAAAAATATAATGTGTAACACGAGTGAAAAAGGCCTTTTCTGTACTCGAGATCATTCCGCACTCGCCTGCGGCTCGTGCGTAAACATTGCTCTCGTGTGCAGCAAAGTGCCACTTTCACCACTAGTTACACAAATAACTATTCCATCTACTCCATATGTGAGCT